GAATCAAGCAAAGGAATATAACAATCTGAAACAACTCAGTAGATCAGATGGAATAAACTGACATACATCTTCAAAACATTTCACCCCAAAATTATGGAATATACATTCTTCTCAAGCGCACATGGGACATTTTCACAAATAGATCACATATTGGGGAAGGAGGGTATGTATGGGTTGGGGGGGGGGACAATGTTAAAATATGTACACAGATAATAATTTAATAAAAAAACAAACAAAAAAACACCAAATAGATCACATATTAAGACACAGTCTAAGTCTCTACAAATTCAAGAAGATTGAAATTATATCAAGCATCTTCTCAGATTATAATGGCATAGTATTATAAATAAACCACAATAAAAACAATTAAAAAAATCCAAACTCTTGGAGGATAAAGAGCATACTATTAAGCCATAAATGGGTTACCGAAGAGATCAAAGAAGAAATAAAAAAAATTCTGTAAACAAAAAAAAATGAAAACACAACAATCCAAAAATCTATGGGACACAGTAAAAGCAGTCCTGAGAGGGAAGTTCATATTACTACAGGCCTACCTCAAAAAACAAGAAAAACTGACAATAAATTATCTAACCGTATAACGTAAAAAACTAGAAAAGGAATAATAAGAAAAGCCCAAAGTAAGTAGAAGGAAGGAAATGATAAAGATCAGAGTGGAAATAAATGACCAACAAATCCCCAAAAGATCAATAAAACCAAGAGCTGGTTCTTTGAAAGGATAAACAAGACTGATGGCCAGGCTCACCAAGAAACAAAGCAAAAGGATGCAAATAAACAAAATTAGAAATGAAAGCGGTGAAATAACAAACAACCCCACAGAAATACAAAGAATTGCAAAAAAATAAATAAAAAATACTACAAACAACACTATTCCAACAAACTGGACAACCTAGACAAAATGAACATATTTTTAGAAAAATACAATCTTCAAAAACTCAATAAGGAAGAATCAGTAAAACTGAATAGACCAGTGGTCAGTAAACCGCAGCTCAAGAGCCACATGCAGCTCTTTGGCCCCTTGAGTATGGCTCTTCCACAAAATACCACGGACTGGGTGAATCTATTTTGAAGAAATGGCCTTAGAAGAAGTTTAAATTTAAAAAATTAGGCTCTCAAATTTCAATCATTGTACTATTGATGTTTGGCTCTGTTGACTAATGAGTTTGCCGACCACTGGAATATACGGATAACTACCAATGAAATTGAAAGAGTAATAAAAAAACTTCCAAAAAACAAAAGTCCTGGTTCACAGGGGATTTCTCCCCCTGCCCCATAGGTCCCCTCCAACTGGTTCCCATCCCACCCCAGGTACTCGCATCCTATTGTCTGTGTCCATAGGTACTCCATATATACATATAAGATCTTTGTCTAATCTCTTCCTGCATTCCCTACACTCCCTTCCCTCTGAGAATCGTCAGTCTGTTCCATTTCCATGCCCATGATTCTATTCCATTCGCCAGTTCATTCATCAGATTTTTTATTCATTTGATTTTTAGATTCAATCGATATGTATTTGTTGTCATTTTCTTCATTTTTTTTTTTAATCTTTATCTTTTTCTTCTTCCTCTTTTAAAGAATACCCTTCAGCATTTCATATAATACTGGTTTGGTGGTGATGAACTCCTTTAGCTTTTTCTTGTCTGTGAAACTCTTTATCTGACCTTCAATTCTATTATAAATGACAGCTTTGCTGGGTAATCTTGAATATTTCACTTTGAATATTTCTTGCCACTCCCCTCTGGCCTGCATAGTTTCTGTTGAGAAATCAACTGACAGTGATATAGGCACTCCCTTGTAGGTAACTAACTGTTTTTCTCTTGTTGCTTTTAAGATTCTCTTTGTCTTTTGCCCTTGGCATTTTAATTATGATGTGTCTTGGTGTGGTCTTCTTTGGATTCCTTGTTTGGTTTTCTGTGCTTCCTAGACTTGTAAGTCTATTTCTTTCACCAGGTCGGGGAAGTTTTATGTCATTATTTCTTCAAATAGGTTTTTAGTATCTTGCTCTCTCTCTTCTTCTGGCATCCCCATTATTTGGATGTTGGTACTCTTGAAGTTGTCCCAAGGCTTCTTACACCATCTTCATATTTTTGGATTCTTTTTTCTTTTTTCTTTTCTGGTTGAGTGTTTTTTTGCTTGCTCGTATTTCAAATCATCAATTTGATTCTCAGGATCCTCTATTCCAGTGTTTCCCAAACTTCTCATGATGAGAATCACCTGGTGGAGTTGTTAAAATACAGATTCCTGAATCCCAACTAAGAAGTGCTAAACTTAACTAGTGCTCTAAGACAGAGCATTAAGTTAAGTATACAATTTTACCTATATGTTCCCAAAAATTCTAGTTTAGCACTTCTTAGTTGGGATTCAGGAATCTGTATTTTAACAACTCCACCAGGTGATTCTCATCATGAGAGAAGTTTGGGAAATACTGCTCTAGTCTATCGTTGAAACCCTGTATGTTATTCTTATTTTCAGTCAGTTATATGCTTAATTTCTGACTGGTCTTTAACCCATTTTTTTTTGGCATTCTCACTAAGATCCTTGAAGGTCTTACAAAGTTCCTTAGAGGTTTCTGGAAGATTCTTGAGTAAGCTTTTAACTATGGTTTTGAACTGTATATCCAGTACTTTGCTTAATTCCTTTTCTTTCATTTGTGACATGTTTCTTTGTCTCTGTGTTTTGGCTGCTTCCCTCTGTTTGTTTCTATGTATTGGGTAGCTGCTAAGTCTCCTTGAGTTGATAGAGTGGCCTGGTGTAGCAGCTGTCCTACAGGGCCCAGTGGCTCAGCCTCCCAAATCACCTGAGTTGGACACTCTTGGTGCACCTGTTTGTGGGCTATGTGCACAGTTTTGTTGTAGTTGATCCTTGATTGCTGTTGGTGTCACTAGAGGAATTGACCTCCAGGCCATTTGGCTGTAGGGACCAGCTGCAACTATAGGGAGAGAGCTGCTGTACAGGAGACATCTTTATGGATCAGAATTTGCCTCAGTGGGGCTTTGGTGCTCACAGAGTCTGCCCCTTGAGTGTGTCTCTTATGGATGTGAAGAGTTGTAATCTGGTATGGTCTCACACTGACCACTGGGCACACTGGCTCTTGGGTCTCCAGAAAGGTACAGAGTCAGCCACTGCCTGAAGCCACCCAGCAGGAACAACAGAGAGATATGCAGGTTCCTCCTTTTTGTATCGAGTTTGGAAGTGCCCAGATGAGGTCCAACTGTGAAGCAAGGCAGACTGGTGCTGGTGCCAGGTCTTGGGCCTTCTATTGATAGCTTTGGGACTCCCTGTCCCAGCTGCAGCTTATTTGGCAGATTTTTAGCCTAAGAAAGGGTAGGCCATTCATATGCAAAAGCTGCTGCACACAGCTTGGTTGGAGTTATAAATTCGGTGGGGCAAGGTCTCAGGGAATCACCAGAGCAGAACAAAGAGAAATGGTTCCCAGTTAGCTTTCCACTGGGGAGGTCCCAGCACAGGAAAAATGACCTCTGGAAGCACCTCCATCTGGAAGAAAGCCGCCCCCATGTTCCTGTCCAGATACCAGACAGTCCAGTTTCTCTGATATGTTTCTGGGTCCCCCAGAGCCTCTCCTGGCATTGGAGGTCAGAGCAAGTGGGAGCTTGTAAGTTCAGTTCTCAGTGCTGGCCTTTTAAGAGGAGCAGCTGGATCTCCAGCAGCCTGTGTGTTACTCAGCCCCAATCATCACTGGTTTTTGCAACCTGTAGTTTTTACTGCCTGTTGGGACTTCTTTTTCCAGTTGTAGAACCTTGGTCTGGGGGTCTGGTGTGGGGAGATGGGACCTCTTGCTCCTCCAGGTGGTCTCCAAAGAGGCGATCTACCTCCCTATTAAAAAAGTGGCATACCTGGCTGCTGGACCAGCCCGTTATGCCTCCATACCTCCTACCAGTCTCAGTGTGCTTTTTTCTTTACTTCTTCTAGCTGTAGTACTTCCATTCAACCAGCTTTCTGGGGATTCTGGATGATAGTTGTTCTGTATTTTAGTTGTACTTTTGATGTGGTTGTGGGAAGCAGCGAGTACAGGCATTTACCTATGCTGCCATATTGGTTCTCCCTCAAGCACCCTTTTTGATAAAAAACTCTCAGCAACATGGGAATAGAGATTATACTTCAAAATAAAACTCTTATATGACAAATCTATAGCCAACACCATACTCAATGGTCTACATACTAAAACCATTTCTCCTAAGAACAGAACAAGACAGGGTAAAATATTCAAAAGATTAAAAATATATATATATACCACTCTTCACTATTTTTTGTTTGGGAATATTATTTTTCATTAAAAATATTGTTGATGTAATATGTAGGGGGTTGGTTATTTTTTTAAAAAAAAGTAATAATTAAGTTAAATTTCTGTTTTAATTTCTAATAGGGCACATATTGCTAAATAAAAGCCACATAAATAAGAACTTCTGGGGGTCCTCAGTTTGAGGAGCACTGCTGTCAATCTAGCATCACTGATCCTCAGGGGGCTCCTCAAGGTTGGCTGACCATACCCTAAGGAAGGATCCTGCCATCTACACTGGTACCCTCAACTTGCAGTCTGCAGCCTACTGCTGGTCCACAAACTATTCCTGATTCATAATAAGCTAAGTACCAAAATCAAGAGCAAACTTTTAGAAACATTTGCAACAATTTTACATTGCTACTCAACCAATCACATATGGGCTTATATTTTATAAGTCCTTGGTTGTTGTTTATTTTCATTTTATTTTTCTAGTTGTTTATTTTTATGGTATTTTACAAAAGTGTCAGTCTGCAACACTTTGGAAATATTTAAAAGTGTTCCTTCATTGAAATATAACTAAACAGCCACTGGGATAATCCTTAAAATAAAATACTGTCAATAAACACTATTTTCCTATAATTAATGAAACTTCAGAGAACTTCCCCTCTGGAAATAACAAATATAAATATCAAAGTATCACCCTAAAATGGAAATTGGTAATGGTAAAGAAAATCATACATACCCTCTTCAGTGAAGAATTTTTCTATGGGTCCCACAAAGTGATTGATTTCATTAAGTTCATCTTGGCTAACTTCTGGAAATGGGAAAACCTCTTTCTAAAAATAAAAATTAGTAAAAATTAATTTTAGCAACTTTCCATAGTGGTAATATCAGTCAAAAAGGAAGGAAACAGTCCTGACTGGTTTGGCTCAATGGACAGAGCATCAGACCGTGGACTGAAAGGTCCCAGGTTCGATTTCGGTCAAGGGCAAGTACCTTGGTTGCAGGCTCGATCCCCAGTGCAGGAGGAGGCAGCTGATGAATGTTTCTCTCTCATCGATGTTTCTAACTCTCTATCCCTCTCCCTTCTGTAAAAAGTCAATATATATATATATATATATATATATATATATATATATATATATATATATAATTTTTAAGGAAGGAACCAGATTGGCTAGGTCCCATATCTGGTAGGCAGAACATTACCAATTAAAGAAATTAGAAAAAATACACACAGAAGGTGCTTAAGATAAAGGAATTGTATGTTAGTCTCCACCACCTAGATAAAACCTCCTCCCCAACTCAAGCAACTTTACTACTAATTTTTATTGCTTTCCTTATCAATAACAAGTCATGATGATTTCCCCATGAAACAAAGAGCCCTGGACTAACATTTCAAAGCCCTGGGTTCAATCTGCAGCTTACTGTGTGGCCTTCACCAAATCTCTACCATCACATACTTTTATTTTCTCACCCATAATATTCAGGTAATATTTACTTAATGTCATTGTGAGAATCATGGAAGATAACTAGTGTGAAAGCTCTTTACTAAAATGTAAAATTTTACATTAGGTATTTTGTGAGTTCAAAGATGCTATAGCTGACAAAAGCATAGTGTGTGGTTACAAGGTCTGACATCTTGTCAGGTTCCTATTCAGTTGCAAACTCCAGCCTCCATCCCTTCTGCTGGATAACAGCTGTTACTTTGAATGTGCAAGGTTACAGGGTCACTGCAGGAGGCACAGATGTTGAGCCAGATCAACCTTAATTCAGCCCTGGCTTTGCCACTTATTAGATGTGTGACTTGGATAAGTCACACAGCCTGTGTTAGTGTTAGTTGACATCAAACCAACCAGATAATGTGTCCTGGAATTAAAAGTAATTGTAATTATTTGTATCAGATACTGGCTCTTGCCTTGACCTCATACCTGAAAAACAAATTAGCTGCAAATCTCGGCCTCAAACAAATGAGTGGTCAATTTTTCTGACTAGCCCAGGATTCCCCACTGGGCATCACTATATATTATCTAAAATCATCCTGCTGTGTCGTTTGACTTTTTGGGCTCCAGATATTCCTGCCAGCATGACATGAGTATTTGGATTTGCAGCTGCTGAGAACTGACGTCCCAGATCACAAGCTTCCAGCCTCCAAAAGCCCTGTCTCTCTCTCTTCATGACACTTCTTACCAAGTGCCTCCAGACAGGTCTTCAAAGCAAAGTAATCTTCAATCTTTCCCCTCCAACCCTTGAATATCTAATCAGCCACAAAGCATTGCCTACTCTAATAACATGCTTCCAAATCTGTTTTCTCCTCTTAGGCCCCATGACAATAGGCTTATTATATGTGGGGCCCAACCCGAAAGTGAAAGCTGATTTAAAGGAATTCCTGCCTTCAAGACCACTGTCCCGCCCTCAAGACTCTAGAAAGAAAAGAAGAAAAAATTGCTAGCTCTACTCACTTTTGCAGCCTCTTAGAACAAAGCCAGCCCCTTAGCTGATATTCAGAGGCTCAACTCACTGCACCTGCATTCACAGCCTCATGGTTTCACCTGGGCCTTGCACAATGAGCTGTGTTAGAAGATTATAAAATTACTAGAGGCCTGGTGCACGAAATTCATGCACTTGGGGGGGGGGGCATCCCTCAGCTCAGCCTGTACCCTTTCACACTCTGGGAGCCCTCCGGGCATATTCTCCAACCACATGCTTTGAAATTGGAAATCAACTGAATAAAACAAACATAAAGATATTAAACAATAACTACGAAACAACAACTGGGTCAAAGAAGAGATAAAAAGATTCAGAGACAGCTCAGCCAGTGTGGCTCAAAGGATGAATATGACCCATGCACCTTGGGTCACTGGTTCCATTACAGGTCAGGGCACATGACTAGTTTGCAGGCTTGGACGGTCCAGTGTGGGGCATGCAGGAGACAGCTGATCGATGTTTCTCTCTCATCACTGATGTTTCTATCTCTCTCTACCTTCCTCTCTCCGAATCAATTAAAACATTTTTAAAAATTAGCTGGAACACGTGTCAAATGCAGATTCTCAGGCCTCGAACCATGGAAAAGACTCTTCCTTTTTCCAGGAAAAATTATAAGACTTAGAGGACCTCGGGAATCTGGAATCTTAGCAAGCCCCGTCCCTTTGGTGTATTTGTCAAACTGGTGTAAGGACTAGGACAATGCTTTATCCCACCCAGTCTTTCCTCATAAGGGCAAAAAGCGGGAGGCTTCATCCGCCGGGCTGTACGTTACCTTCTCGATCCTGCCCAGGAAGAGCTCCTTGGCGAAAGCGTGGGTGCGCGAACTGGAGCGCAGCGGTCGCCTGCTAACAGCGAAGGCCCGCAGAGCCCAGCAGGTGCGCGCGCGGAGCCCGAAGACCATCATGCTGTCCAGAGTGCACACCTTAGCAGGCTTGTCCTGGACTCCAGCCCCGGCGCCCCAATGACGTCACAACATAGCGCCTCGCTCCACAAGCCATAGCGCATGCGCGATACCCAATGACCACTTCCTTGTGCCTGCCACCAGATGGTGCGCATGCGCTATTTATGATACATTGGGCGCCTTCCGCAGGCCAGTGCGCATGTGTGGCTGTGGTAGAAAGCCCGGTGACATGGACTGAAGGGTCCTGGATTCAATTGTGGTCAAGGGCATGTACCTTGGTTGTGGCACATCCCCAGTAGGGAGTGTGCAAGAGGCAGCTGATCGATGTTCTAACTTTATCCCTCTCTCTTCCTCTCTGTAAAAAATCTATTTAAAAAATAATAATAAAGTTGGTTACCCGGCTGGTGTTGTTCATTGGTAGAGCCTCCTCACATGCACATGTGGTGGGTTCTATTCGGGTCAAGGACCTGTCCCTGGGTTGCAGGTTCAATCCCCAGCCCAGGTTGGGGCACCAATCAATTCCAGATCTCTCTGTTGCCCACCACCCATCCCCCTCCTTCCCTTCCACTCTAAAAATCAATGGAAAAATATATTTGAGTCCAGTTGGCATGTTTCAGTGGTTGAGTGTGGATCGATGTCCAGTCAGGACACATACCTGTGTAGTGGGCTCCATCCCCAGTAGGAGGTGTGCAGGAAGCAGCCAATTAATGATTCTCTCTTATCATTGATGTTCTTATCTCTCCCTCTCCCTTCTTTTCTGAAAGCACTAAAAAATATATTTTTAAAAAGGAAAGAAAAATACCCTTGAGTGAGGATTAACAAAAATAAATAAGTTTGTGTTATTTCTATTTTGTCTGAACATATAACATTGCATAGTATTCTTCCATCCTTATCCCCACCAATGTTTTAGTCCTAGACCTTTATAATTTATGTATCCAGTGCTCATCAGTCCTTTTGTCAAAATTTCTCAAATGTCTTGGTTGAATGGTTTGTCCTGTGATAGAAAGGACTCATAAGAAGTGTATGCAACAAATTCTTGTATGTTTAAAACCTGTGCAAAGCTACTTTTCTATATTTTTTTAAACCAGAGAATTTATCTTGTAATTTAATTAATTTCACTTGGATATATGTCTCTCAGTTTTGATAATTGTGGGCTAGTTATTTCCCCCCCCAAGAACTTAGAACCTTTAGGATGCAGATTCATCTTTTCTTTTTTTTAAAATATATCTTTTATTGATTTCAGAGAAAGGAGAGGGAGAGATAGAAACATCAATGATGAGAATCATTGATAGCCTGCATCCTGCACACCATTGACTGAGGAGTAAGCCCACAATCCAGGCATGTGCCCTGACCAGGAATCCAAATGTGACCTCCTGGTTCATAGGCTGATGCTCAATCACTGAGCCACACCAGCGGAGCATCAGCTCTTCTTTATTATAGATAATTTTCTTTAATTATAGTCTTATATCATAGTATTATTACATGTACTTATATGTTCTTTTAAAAAAATTTTTTTATTGATTTCAGAGAGGAAGGGAGAGGGAGAGAGACTCAGAAATATCAATGATGATAATCATTGATTGACTGCCTCCTGCACGCCCCCTACTGGGAATCAAGCCCACAACCTGGGCATGTGCCTTTGACTGGAATCAAATCTGAAACCTTTCAGTCCACAGGTCGATGCTCTATTGCACATGTGTCAAACACAAGGCCCGCGGGCCAAATCCGTCTCGCCAGGCCTTGCAATGTGGCCCGCACCGCGCTGTCATCACTGCACTCCGCTGCGTTTCCATCACAATGACAGTTTATGACTGTTCAGTAAACCATTTGGCCCGCGATTTAGGCTGGATTTTAGATTTTGGCCCCTCCTCTGATTGAGTTCGACACCCCTACGATTGAGTCAAACCAGCTAGGGCTATATGTTCTATTTTCATCTGCTACATCTCTACTTTCTCTCTGACCTCTAATACCTCCTTACATTTTATTTTCTTGGATCCTTTTATTTCCATCCTCAATGTCCCTTTCTGTACTTTGTTATATCGTTTCTCCATTAGACAGCTGAGATGATTTTGTCTTTTTCTTCACTTTTTTTCTTGAGTTTAGTGAGCTTCCATTGCACATCTTATTTGTCCCCATTTTTTGTTGTTAATCCTCACCTGAGGATTTCTTCTTCAGAGAGAGTTAAGGGAGGAGGATGAGAGAGAGAGAGAGAGAGAGAGAGAGAGAGAGAGAGAGAGAGAGAGAGAGAGAGAGAGAGAGAGAGAGAGAGAGAGAGAGAGAGAGAGAGAGAGAGAGAAAGAGAGAGAAACAGACATGGAGAGAGCCACATCAACTGGTTGCCTTCTGCATGCACCTCGACCAAGGACAGGGAGGGAACCCACAACAAAGGCCCTTGACTGGAAATTGAACCCAAGACACTTCAGTCCACAGAATAATATTCTAACCACTTAGCACACAAGCCAGGTCTTATTTGTCCAATTTTATAATCAAACCTCAGTTCTCAAACATCTCCCATTTCGAACAATTTAGTTCTTTAACCAACTTGTTCACAAGGGGGAAAAAGTCTGGGTTGTGGAACAAAACTTCGATTTTGTGACCTGACAACCTTTTTATGATGATACCTCAGCATGACAAAAAGCTTCTCTCAGGCCACTTACAAGGAAAGGAGAGAAAGTACATACAAAGGAGAGAATGATTAGCACAATTTTAAAATATAAAGATGCAACCAAGTGCTAATGTTGCTAAGAGTGTGAAAGAAACAATGATTACAGGGAATTAAAGAAGTAAAAAAAAAAACAACTATTGTTGATTTGGATAAACAAAAAGCAGTTAGCTGGGTGACAGCATTTTAGAGGCAGTGATATGAACAAGCAAAAACACTGCATACTGACCTGAAAGACATCCCTGGACCCAGTGCTGAAAGTGATTTCTTTAAGGCTGGTAAGGGGATGGTACGATCAATTTAAGAAAAGTTTTTATTTATAGATTAAACAGTACATTAGGCATGTACTATACATAGAAAGGTTTAGGTGGAATCATTTGTGGGTCTGGAACAAATTAAATTTACATTTCTAATGGGGAAATATGATTCAGTTTTCGAACAAATCACTTCTCAAACAGCACTGGTAATGAATTAAATTCAAGAACCATGGTAGACTGTGGTGTTCTTTCATATCTTATTGGTTGTTTAATTATGTGTAATTAATGATATATTATGTTACAATTTCCCCCTGCTTTGGATTTTTATCCTGTTTGCATTTATGTGTGTTCTTATTTGCTAAAAAGTTTTCTCATTTTCCTTCTTAAAGTATTTTTGTATGAAGACTTTGTGTTTATTTGCATTAGATTTTTTGAGACCAACAATAGCAGTGTGTCACAACCTTCATGGCGGGATTCAGGATCTGAAAGAGGGACCAATGCACAAATGAAAATGCTATACAAGAAATATGAGTTTAGAAGGAATGGGGGTGGAAACCAGGTGGAGACATCTTTCTTGAAGAGGCACCCCCAAGACTGGGTCCCATCTGCTTTTTATTCAGTTTTAGATGCACATCTTGCCCTCTAGCAATGCATACAGGCATATCAAAGGTAAAGTTTGGTAAACAGTAAAAGGATTATAATATTAGGGAATTGTCTTGAGCCATTGAGCCCACAGTAAGGCAATATTTTGCTGAATTTCAGCCCTGCTGAATATCAAAGTCCAGTGGTCTTCCAATGATTTTTTGCATTAATATGCTAACTGCTGATGGTTTTAGCCTCTGGCAGTAGTGATATACGGGGAAGGACCAGGCCTTATGTGGTTTACTTAATTTTTTAGTCCAAAAATGTTCCATTTTGCTTATATAGTTGACAAAAAAGGGCCACATGCTAACCTAACTCAAAGAAGGCCTGTGTGGCAGCCTTGCAAATTCAAGAGACCTAAAATAACAACAAAGGATGTTTTCAAATTAAATATCTGTGGAATGTCAAGGTAACTTGTAACTTCCCTTTTTCCGGACACCTCAAGGCACAACAAATACTGCCAGGGCACCAAGCACAAACTCCTTTATTGTTATTATTATCTGTTAATAGCTGACTGTTAATTATCCTGTACCCACTTATGTAAAAGAGGTATGAATGTATCATTTTACTTTTTATTCAATCCAGAAGTTTCCCCACTTTGCTTTCTCCTACCTCCCTAATCTGTCACCAATGGATTTAATGTAACCCACTTATGTCTCCTCCTTTGATGGTAATTTATAAAAATAGGTGAAAGCCACCATTCTCCACAGCATTATCTTAATTTGTTGAGATTCTGCTTCCTGATAATTGTTGACAGTTTGGCTCAAATAAACTCACAAAAATTCTTAGATTAACACAGTGAACTGCAGTTCCTTTAATAAAAGACACTATTCCGCCGAAACTGGTTTTGCTCAGTGGTAGAGCGTCGGTCTGCGGACTGAAAGGTCCCAGGTTCAATTCCGGTCAAGGGCATGTCCCTGGGCTGCGGGGACATCCCCAGTAGGGGATGTGCAAGAAGCAGCTGGTCAATGTTTCTCTCTCATCGACATTTCTAGCTCTCTATATCTCTCTCTTCCTCTCTGTAAAAAATCAATAAAATATATATATTTAAAAATACTTATAATAAAAATAAAAGACACTATTCCTTTTATGTCTGTCTTCTGTTTCTGTGATAGCATCTTATTTTGTTTTAATATTTTTACTGATTTCAGAGAGGGAGAGATAGAAACATCAATGATAAGAGAGAATCATTGATTGGCTGCCTCTTGCATGCCCTCTACTGAGTTCCCCCCTGCCCTCCCACAAGCCTCCCAGGAAACCTCGCTTTCTCAGGTGCCTCCCTCTTCTCAGAAGCAGTGCCTTTAGTCACTGGTCCCATGAACTTTCTAAGTCTTCTTCTGATTCACTAGGTCTTACTTCTCTCCTCACATGTCCACTCTGGGTTGGTCTCTGTCTTTACAGACATGAACTCTAGTTGATGTTATCTTTCTCCTACCACCATTAGGACCATGCCATCTTCCCTTTTCTATGCAGCAGTCCTCCCACCCCCAGATCTGTGTTCTAGTATAAGAT